CTGTTGTCATATATGAAAAGCGAGTTGACATATGAATGACTGAGTTGATTGCTAACGACACTGATACGCCAACACTCTGATAATTTTTAATGCCTAGTGAAATACTGAAAATATTTCTTACCAAATAAGCAACAAAGGAACATTAGATCATCTTTTAAAAGTATTGCTAAAACACTGATTTCATCTATCACGGCTTCAACGAGCTAAAATAAGATGACAATTGACAATAATTTATCATATGTTCCGTCCGTGTTTACTACTCATCCGCATCACAGTATATCGCTGTGTATACCTTAGATATTCTTAGTAATAAATCACTTCTTAATCATCAAGTAAATTTAGTTCGTAACACTGTTTATATTATCCATTTTCCTTTTCTGATGAATCTGTAACTCTATTGGTCTGGGTGGTTGGTTTCCGAAACCGTGGATCATAAGTTTGAACTCTTCACCATTTATAGAAGCTTAGACAGTCAGTATTATTATTTCTTGTACATTAGGCACCGTTAGTTGGTCAGAGTGTACAACTCCACATGTTAACAGAGTTATATTGATTCGTATTCACTCAGTCTAATAATTTTTTGTTAACTACACTAAATGATATCACATGAATTGTCAAGAATATTGTCCATCTGCATACGGATGATGACTGAGGCTGAAAGTATATCCACATCATAGATGATATTCCAATAAGTGAGTATCGGATAGTTAACACAGTGATCTACTGCCCGAGTTATGACACTAATTCGATGGTTAATGTGAAACTAACACCTAACTGGCAATTGGATCTTACAATTCACTGGAACGCTGGACCAATGGCTCGTAGACTGTCACTTTGAATCCTTTCTATGACCCTGCTTTCATCTCGTTTTTTGTACAGTAATACATATCTACACGAGAGCCATTTCTAAATATAGTGCAGCAGACAAGGGCTGTTAACCCCTTTTTATCACAATAAAGCAGACAAGCTCTATTAAAGAATAATAATAATAATAGTAATAATCTGTCATTCCATGCCTCTCCATCTCTTCATACCTTTCCCACTCTGTTTTCCTTCCTTCAACACAAAGGTGAATAGAATTTCTTTCTAATCCTCATTATTTTGACAGAAATAGATTTTTTGTTCTTAGTGCTGTTATTGTTGTTGTTGTCGGCAGTGGTGGTGGAGGAGAAGAAGGAGAAGAGGGAGGAGGAAGAAGAAGAATGAGAGAGTGAAGACAGAATAAAGCAAATGCGACCTGTCATAAGCAAAAAATGAAGACGAAATTTATGCTTCAATCATTTATTGAGTAGTAGGCAATAGTTGTTTGCATTTTATTTTATTCCATTGTTTCTTCTTCCTTGCATTCCTTTCTTTTTTACAGGCTGTTCATCCAGTTTCTTTTTAGTATTTTCTGTGGCCTTGTTATTTTTTGTCATAGCCCAGTCTGTGATAACGACAACATAATCGATTATATAATCAGTGGGCTGTCGATTCATTTTATCAAGAGATTGAATTTCTCTGCACAATTTACCTGGATAAATGTTAGTTACGTTGGCTGACCACTGAAGCGTAGCCATAAGTATGCTACTTAGTTATAGGTTGTGATAGAATTCTACGAAGGATGTAGAAAAATCTTTCGAAGAACTCCAAACATGTACGAACTTAAGTCATGTAGGGCTTCTTATAGGATTTTTTTCAAATAAATAACGTAATGCATAACTTGTAGTAGTTAATAAATGTACTACAATCTTATTTCCTCGTCGTAGTACTCATCAGCTGTAAACAAGGTCAACTTTAATCAGAATCGAAACCAGAACCATACAATGTAAAAAGGAGTAGATTACCACTGAGTTTTAGTCAGTTTTAAATAGTCATTTACGTTGATAGAAAAGTACCTATCAGATGTAAAGCACTACTGGTAAGCTAGACAAGCTGATATTATGGAGTACTGCATTGGTTGTTGGCTGATAAAAGTCTGCAGGAAAGCCTGAGTATAGGTTTCATGTTTTTTGACACCCATCAATAAGGTACATCAGAAAATTTAGTGAAATTTATGCTTTTTAGAAGATACAAACAAGCCTGAACTAAATATTATGGTCACAGACGTTTCTAATGGTACTTTCAGACCTCTAATTTGGTGGATAGACTTTTGAAGTCCAGGTCTATAACCTTCTGTGAATCCTGTGTAGTCATATACATAGACTAATCATGGAATACTGAAAGTCAACAACTTCTTCCTTTGGTAATCCGAATGGTCGGACGACAAACTTTAGTCTGTCCTACACCTAGAATGAATTCAAGAAAGGAAGACTAAAAACTCGGAAACATATACTATTGATATTGAATCAGTAGTCCTCATTAGTGTTCAGTGTTTGGTGTTCAGAGATGTGTATTCGTTATATATGTGCATACGGACTAATTACACATTTCAGCCAGTAGTACATATTGTGAGGCTTAGCGAACCCCATACTTCAAATACTGGTGATATTATCATAAAATGATAAACTTCACGATCAATGGATGATCTGAGTACTATAGAATGCAATTTATGTTAAAACCTTAAAATATTTTCCACGTTGTTAGTACTTCCTCATTAAAATAATGACGGTTTGTCAAATCATAACCAGTGACACAAAGTCTCGAATCAGTGGATTTAGGAAAATTGGACTTTTCGTAAGAAGGGCAGTGGTCGGTATTACCATTATTATTATTATTAAAGTTAGCTGAATGCTTGTCCTATCAATGCGAATCCATTTAAACGAAATATAAAGTTTAGAAATATGTGTTTATTTAGTATGCTGAAAGCGTAATCACTACAGATGAACCAGTTAGAGATAAATATTCAAACTTCTAGTGATTTGATTTCACTTCAGCAATCACTGTTTAACATTTTCAGCGAAACATACACTGACTTCAATAAGAATTTACCTTTCGACTTTTCTTTTTCCGAAAAAGCAACACAATAATGAAAAACATTATTGAAAAAACATTTCTATATGCCTCAAAGTAGTATTCACCACAGTCTGTCACCAGTTAGAGAACCACTGAACAGCTGTTTCGTCCTAGTATGGGACTCCCTAACAGTACGCACCCATAACCCCATGAGGGTTGGAACTCAGCAAGTGAGGTAGATGTCAGCTTATGACCTTGGATGACAGTTGTGCTGTACCACAAACTGATAGAATTAGGAAACTACGAGTTACTGAATCCCAACCTAGTGGCTCAATAGTTTATGCGTTCGACGAAAGAATTGGATTTCTTAAGTTCTAACCTTAGCGAGGTCATCGGTTCGTACTACTGAGGAGTTCCACACTGGGACGAACCAGCTGTTCAGTGCTCTCAGGTTTTCAATGGTTCTTCAAATGACGTCGAAGCGTGATGAACACTACCTTAAAATAAATGAATTCCAAGGAATCCCAAACCAAATTTCTCAGTATTATAACCATGAATAGTGGTTGTCAGTCGTATCCAAGATACATGTCCAGTCACCTTTGTGAATAGCCAACTGGATGTCACTGTATCCCAGTAAAGTTTGTTCTATCTATTGACACTGGAACCCAGTAGTCAACATCTCAGACACCAGAGCCACGTGAAATAGGCTACTGTGTTACGATAGTCACCCCATTGTGTGGCATATTTGATTTAGCATTGTATCTGGTAGTTTTTTATTGGTGACTTGTTTGAACTAAACTGATCAGTCCCTAATAGTAGTGTGTATGGTCCCTGATACTATCAGTAGCTTCATCCAGTGACAACGATCAATGATTTCTTGGCTCTTATAGGTGAACTGCCTAATTATTATTGTTAAATGCATGAACTAAATTGGCAAGAAGCCTCAAACCAGTAGTTCGAACCTGTGTTAGTTAGTACTGCTGTCATAAGTAGTACTCTCGATCTTTGTTAGCACTAACCAGTTAATCTATACTTAAATTAAAAGACATAAACAGCTGGACGGAAAATAATTTTTATCTCAGGAACCTAAAAAATGTTCTATGCAACATGAAACATCTGATATTCACTCAAAAAAGAACATATCCAGTTAGCAAAATGAACTGGGAACTACATTATAATTACTGTGTTGGAGTAGTTAGCCTGCACTATTACGCAACGCATACAGTGAAGTCGAACAACGGCAAACCTCCATGATATTTCACATTGATCACTATGGACAGACAGACAAAGTGAATACGAAAATTCAGATAAAAATGTGAAGTTGTACTGCGAACTGGAAAATAGTGTGACGGCAGTATGGAGTTCTCCGCGCATGATCAACAGTACTATGCTGATGCTGCCTTCCCAATATGGCGGAGAAGGGGTACGTAAAGGTCCGTCTTAAAAAATATCATACTCTCCCTTCTTTGTAGTCATTCAATACCGGTGGTATCAGTTTTTTTCCTTAAGTCAGAGCAGTAAAATTTCAAACTAACAATCTTAAAGGAGTCACATGTGCCAGGTCTTAAATAGATGTTATTTGGGCTATTCACCCGCGCAAATCTATTGGTTTATCTCCTTTCGGGTATTTTACAGGAACAATTACTACTTTGTGAACATCTGGGACGTTCCTACCCCCACCACGCTTCCCGTAAATTACAAAACCCGATCAAGCATAACCTACTCTCCACATTAATATTTAATTGAAACATACACAATATCGAGGTATCCGCGCACAAGCCCATATGTTAATAAAGACCAATCAAACCAGTACACTCATCGATTGAATAATACGAACAACACATCATTAAAACTATACCCATTGCAGAGGAAGGGTCAGTGACTCAGTGGTCTAGAGGATAACATTCTGGAGTTTGAAACGGTCGGTCCCCAAATTGAATGGCGGTGGGGACAGCACTCACTGGGAGGCAGGTACGTCCAGCTGACGAGTCCTAAGTCGGCCGGGGCACGTGTCCTGGACTCCACTGCTAGCCACTATCCATCACTGTTCTAATTACCTTTGTCTTTTCCTTTCTCTTATTTTTGATACCAATATTAGGCCTCTTACATCTCATACCTGGATCAACATGGACTTATCTACTACTACTACTACTACTACTACTACTACTACTACTACTACTACTACTACTACTACTACTACTACTACTACTACTACTACTACTACTACTACTACTACTACTACTACTACTACTACTACTACTACTACTACTACTACTACTACTACTACTACTACTACTACTACTACTACTACTACTACTACTACTACTACTACTACTACTACTACTACTATTACTATTACTATTACTATTACTACTACTACTGCCAAGTTAGGTTTTCACTTCCTATTCATACCGTTATAGTTTATCGGTCTTCTGTAATATTCCTCTCTTGTTCAGCCTGGTTATTTTTATAAATAAAAAGAAGCATACTGCTGGACACAATTATTAGTAGGAAATCATTCACATAAGTCAGTAATGTCTATTAGTTTGATTCAAGTGATCTGAGTACCTGAGTGTTGTCTCGCTCACTCAGTATTGACCAAATCATAGTTACGACATTTCTATCATGTATGTTGGTGCTAACTTTATAATTCATTTAAAGTTGAAGGGAAATGATTGTGGGATGATCAAAGTGCTTAAAGAAGTTTATTGAACTATTCAGTTTCAGTTTGACATCTATCAAGAAATGAAGTCATTTAAAGAGATATTGAAAATCTGGGTGAATTGAACAGCTGATTCGTTCTCGTATGGGACTACTCAACAGTGCCCATCTGTAATTTCTTTATGAATCGGGTCCCGCGATAAGCATGTTGCCACTGAACCACTGGATCGAAATCATATAGTCCACATTAACCTACTTCTGTCAGTTCACTATACAGCACAACCTCCATCCATTGCCGTCACTGAGCACCTGTCTTCACATCTAAGTTTGTTTTCCCCATCAGTCACAACTCCTCATTAAAAAATTCGAGAATTCTTAGCTGGATGCAAATCAACAATCAGCATTAGACGGGTCATGATTAAGCCAACATTGAGAGAATTGAAAAAGTGAGGACCAACTGGACTTCCATCCAGTAGTTCAGTGGTAATGTACTCGGTATAGAATCCAAATGTCTTGGGTTTGGTTCATTCAAGCGGAGTCAGGGATGCTCACTGCTGAAAAGTCCCATAGTGGGATGAGACGGCCATCCATTGCTCCCAGGTTTTCAATGATTCTTCGACTGATGCTAACCTGTGACGAATAATTATATATATATGTCGCGACAGAAAAGCTGCTTTCCATATGTCTCAAAAGATACTGATTTTGGAGTAGACTACAACTTGATGAATAGGCCTCCACATAGGAGCCTATCTGGCAATATAGGTTGAGCGATTCGACCCAATATAAAAACGGAAGATTACAGGTATCAAACAACAATTGCTTCAAAAGAGATTAATCACTATAATTAGTCAATCGACCTTTAAATCTTATCAGTTACGTTGATTGTTGATCAGCAATAAATTGGCAACTGTGATTCTACACCTTGATTGTCGGCTTAAAGATTTCCCAGCAGTAATCTCTTCAACGGTTTACTACTGAATAGAATATATTGCTATTTCAGCTTACTCAAAATCATGGTTACGTTATTATGTCACAAAGGTATGAATGTCAACTTGCTGGTTAAATTTCACTTAGATATCATTTACAAGATGATGTCCATGATAAGTCATAGGAGAAGATATAAAGTTAAAGTGGCCTTTGAAAAATACATGTCCAATCCAAGCTGAAAACACTTTTTTCGCAACAATAACAAAACGAAATGAATTCTTTGAACTAATGGGTCTCAGTGGTTGGGGGAGAGACTTATTGTACTGATTTTATTTATGTACTTGAAACTAATCATCATGATGGTGGAGATCTTACAATCATGCCAAGCATCGCAAATTAAAAATATTTGGGACATAGTGAAAGATTACAGTACCGTATCTGATGACAAACTAGTTTATAATCCCTCTGCAAAAGTTCCCATTTGAACGTTTGAAAAACAAGCAATCATCAGTTTGTATAACAGACCTTGTCTAATAGGATAATGTGGCACCCAAGATTCACTTAACCAGTACGCAAGTACGTAACATCTACAACATGCTTCTGTGTGAACCATTTATCTATGAAAAATCAAATACAAAAGTGTACGGATGCTGAGTCTTTAAGCTTCACTTTGATCTTAAGATTGGGTATCATATCGAGTATACCTTCTGGTGATTGAGGTGAGCCGAATTGATTTATGTGATTAGTTGACAGACTTTGATCGGCACTTAGGACTGAGCAACATACCTAATCTAATCCTATAAGAGGTCAGTTGCGGTGGTAACAGCTCAGTGGTAACGTCTTCAACTGCAACACTAGATGACACAGGTTTGAATATCACAGAAGACACTAGATCCTTTGGGATTGTGGATATGCCTTGCTGATAAATTCCAAAATCACGAAACCTAGGTCTAGGGGCTCCTCCTGATTGCCCCCAACCATTTAACCTTGATTAATAGGTTACTGAAATATGTTGACCTCATTGGTGTGTCGTACAGTTTCGTACTTCGCCTATAAACTATTCCTAATAACACAGAATACCATTAGAATAGGCTATTTACATCCCGTCAGTTCTTGTAAGAAATAGCCATCTAGACTCGTAACCTACAGTGTTGAAAGCAGCACAGAAGAAAATATTCATCTAAATTAAACTATGGCAAGACATAATCAACTTGTGGCTAACAAAAAAAACACGAGTGCAATGTTCTGCTGGAGGAGATGCAAAGTTCATCACTTCATGTTAGAGTCTGAAACCCGCTGGGTACTAATTATGTCTTTAGACGTACAATATTGTATCCATAAGATGGAGTCAGTTGGATTATAATGCCAACAAGTAATACTTTTGAATAATACTGAAAACCACTAAATGCCCATTACGCAATCTAACCTCTTTTTATCTCTTATTATAATGATGATTAAGGTCATCTGTTAACTTACTAAATTTTTGTAAATTATTCAAAACATCCATTTTTTCGATTGTTCTTCCTAGTTTAAAGCTTAATGAATCTAATATAGTATCATCAATTAGATCATTATTTCTTCCAATGATTTCTTGTTCTCGATCTTCGTTGTCTTCTTCCTCTCTTCCTCTTATTCCTTTGTCCTTGTTAAGTTCAACTCCATCTACTTGGTCTTCTTTATTCAATGAATGTTTAATCGTCTCATTGTTTAGGCAAATTGATTTCGATAACCGTGAAGGTGATGATGATGATACTGGTGGCGGTGGTTGTTGTGACAATGGTGGTGCCAGTGTCGAGTTGTATTCATTTCTTAAATGACTATTCAACTCGTAGTCTATAAGTTGTTTGACATTTCTTTGAAATTCATAGAAATCTGTACTGTTACCAGTTTGTTCTAATATACTACTGTCATTAATATCAGTAGTAACATCATCATGACTATTAATGTTATACTTTGTCAAAGAGTTATGAAATCGAGGATATTTTGAATTGTAGCAAATATCTGAACTAAATTCTATACTGTTTTTAGTAACAGCAGCAGGAGTAGTAATAGTAGTATTTGGTAGATAGCGAAGTGAATGTTGGACACATGAACCGAGTTGGTTGTCAAGTTTATGCTTGTTGAGTGTACAAGTAATTCTGCTGATATTTTGTTTAGTTTCTTCAGTTGATTTGATATCTCCATTAATTGTGGTGGTACAAGAAGTAGGAATTGTGGCACAACTTCTTGGTTTAATGGCCTCAGATACACCATAACTGTTGTGATTTGCAGTAAACTCGTTAGTACTATTTAATCTTTCTTGTTCAACTGACTGCTGCTCGTCAACACTGATATGTGTATCGTATCCATTTATAATGTGCGCCGCTGAGTTTACATCAGGTAAATTTAAACAAAACTGTGTGAGATTAGTTTTATTTTCCGATGTTTCAAAGGGATGTCGATGTTGGTGTTCCAATTGTTGTTGTAACTGAGATATCATAATTATTTTTCAGATGATTTAACAAAATTTGAACAGAAAACAGGCCGGGGAATCCAATAGACAAGAGAATTTGCTTGTTTGTAAACTGCACTGTTTTAATAAGCAAAGGTCGTTATTATTTTCTTAATTACAGTTTTCTCTTCTCGTTAAATTATCGATACAAATTCACTTATTTGTCACAGTTTGACTTAACAGATATGGCGAACAGAAAGATGACCAAAGAATAGTCGACATGGTGATCCAAGTATCAATTAGATATTCACCGGATTTAATTTAATTTAATTTCCACTCATAACTCCGTAATCAATCAATTCATGATGAGAGGTGGAGAGACGAGAGTAATTAGATAATAATATTTTTACGAACTCACTTTGATATGCGGTTATAAATTAGTATTGACGTGTGATGATGAGTAAGCCTTAAGACAGATTTGTGAATAAATAATTATTAATATTATTATATTTATGTGAAACCAGTAAATTAGGTTATCGGTACTAATGATTAGAGGCAAGTTGTTTACTGTATAGTTAAGTTGTTATGCGTAGAAGAGCAACCAATTACCGTGTTCATAAGTGAATGTAAGACAGTCTGATGTGGCTAAATAATCTTTGAAATAAGCCAACTCCTGTATGGTGGCTAACCACCTATGCTGTTGTATAACTCTAGCCATTTCTTCTATTCTCATCCCACCTACCGGAAGTTTATTCATCTGGTTCCTCCCCTTCCCCTAGAATTTATATACCTACCTACCTACCCATACATATGCATGCCAACTTTTCTCCCTAACACTTATTCACCCTCCTCCTCCCTCCATTCCTACAATATTTAGCTTTCGCAAGTCAGTCAGTCGATCAATCCATCGACTGACCATTGAGATTCAAACAATCATCGCACAGGCGGACATGATATTCTTCAGTCATTGAAATCTCATACCATCCTACTGTTTATCTGCTGATATGTTACATATCTGAAATACTAATCTAAGTGGACATGTGTCCCTAAAGACTTTACATAATGTTGTTTAGCTTCTGTTTACTACGGTTAAGGCAATTTCTAATATAACTGACAAATCAATATCAGTATTTCTAACTCCTATTTTAATTTGATTGGTTCTTTGATCGGCTCTTCTTCGATCTTCGGTCTAGAGCGTTTTCATTGGTCATTAAAAATGAGTAGAAGTATTTAGTCTACAGAATATACATACTGGGATAACGTTTTAGAGATGTGTTATTTAAGTCATTTGTATACACGAAGAAACATTACTAAGCGGTAAACGTTTTTAATCGCAAATTCATGATATCAGGTCACCTGATTAGACTGGTTTAGGTTAAGAGTCTGGCTTTTAACGTTTCGATTCTGTTTGACATTTTTAAAATTAGAACTCAGTATATAGAAGTTAGTGAACGGAAAACCATTGGTTAGTATTTTCCAACTTCACTCCTATGCAGTCTGACAATAAAGTTATTCTATGTCCATGAAGACGCCACATGCCAAGTAATTCACAATAGAAAGCTCAGTGATGCTTTTGAAGTGAAAACAGGAGTGAAACAAAGCTGTCTACTATCACCCATGATATTCCTTATTGTAGTGGACTGGATCATGCAACAAACAATGAGGAGTGTGAAAAGGGGATACGCTGGACAGTGGAAAAGGACCTAGAAGACTTGGATTTCGCCAACGATGACTTGTGTCTGATGTCGCACAAACTTGAAGATCTACAGGCGAAAACTCACAAGTTGGTAGAAGAGGCGAGGCAAGGCAGCGAAGACGGGACTTCCTTCAGGTGGACGTAGAGATGAAAGAGGTAATGAAGATACCCAATCAACAACACCACGCACAACAACAAACTCCAATCACCATCAACGGGGGAAACTTAAAGGAAGTAACCTCCTTCACCTATCTAGGCAGCACTGTTTCAACTACAGGTGGCGACACAGACGAGGACGCCAAAGCCAGCCAGGATCGGAAAAGCAAGACAGGCGTTCATTAGCCTGAAACCAGTGTGGAGATCTTCTGCACTCAGCATGTAGAACAACATCCGGATTTTCAACACCAACACCAACGTCAAGTCAGTCAATGTTTCTATATGGTTCAGAGACTTGGTGCGTTACGAAAGGGATTTCCAATAAACTACAGATATTCATCAATAACTGCTTAGATGGATTGCCAGAATAATGAGAATAAGCAACAAGGAGCTCTGGGAGCGAAACAACCAAGAACCTATCAGGCAACAAATATGCAGTAGGAGGAAGTGGAGATGGATTGGGCATACACTGAGAAGGCCGACTGGAGACATCATGCATCAGGCCAGTCCATCGAGTGGAATCCCCATGGGAAGCGACGAGTTGGGCGCCTGAGCCGAGGGTGACATAGAGGAGATCGTGCGAGGATGAAATGAGAGCTTATGGGCTGTCGTGGAGCCAGGTTGAAAAGATTTGAGAGAAGAGAGTGTAATGGAGACGTGCTACTGAAGCCCTTTGTTCCATTAGGAACCCAAGGGACAAATAATAATAGTAAAATGTCAACCCCACAGAAAAGTGACAGTGTTTAGAAATGTTGACATATAACGTGCTTGCTGCGAAGTGTATCGGTGCCCAAAGGGGTTATATATGTCGCATTTCTATAATCCCATGTGTTAACAACAGTTTACAACAAGAGGAGAGCTCCATTCACCCAATATTAGAGTGACTTCAAAAGGCCAATCTAATAAAAACTGAAATAACCAATGAGATTTCGTTGTTTTATGAAAGTCTGCCCTTCCAATCTGATTGGCTATTTCACTCGTCGCTAGTTTGGTCTTTAGAGTCACTTCATTTTTAAAATATATCAACCCTATTTAAAGTCAAACCTAATGCTTATTCATTTCACCTCTCCTATATGACATACTAACACTTATTGATTACAATGTATTCCTTCTTTAGGCAGTCTGGTTGGAGTTTCACTAAAGGAATATATAGGCGATAAAACAAATTTTCTCCTGACCCCAGTTTATTTCCAGTCGTGACCCATAAGGTTTACTGGTGCCTACTGTAACTGTAGCACTGGATAATGTAGGTTCCAGTCTTTGAATAGGCATAATTTCCCTCGGAAATACAGAATCGTCTTGTTGATGCATACCAACAAACATGAAATCTGGGTCCAACTAGACTTCCTGTCAACTGACTTCAGTCATCTAACCCCAGTTTATCTTATCTTTTTATCACTTTTTTAAAGGTTTGGCTATTTTTAACAAATGCCTCGGGAATAGCGGTGTAGAAACTTCCATGTCTTTTGTGAAAAAACTCAGGTAGTCAAAAGTTGTACAAGAAGCAAAGCAATCAAACATCTACCGGTTTATTAAAAGTATTGACAAGCTAAATGGAATGTTGATTTCATTTGCACTCATGTATATCAAATTAAGTGACAGAAGATGTAATTAATTTCTAAAATGACTTTGAAATCAATAAATCCCTACCAAGTTTCATATATTCCATTAGTCATCAGCCAGTTGCATCGTAATTGATTTTCTGAAGTTCTAACTGAGAAGTTATGATCTATGGATGGGTACAACCAAGTTGAAAGTGAGGCACATGATTACAAGTAACCTTGGATGATGATGGCTCAATATTCTAATTTAACAGAAGTATGGAAGAAAGATGTGGATCTTGAAGTGGTTAACTTGATCCTTCATAGAGTCACGAGTGTTTACTGCTAAGGAGTTCCATATTGTTATGGAAAAGCTGATAAATGCCTTCAGGTTTTCAGCTAAGTTTTCCAAATGATTTCCATCCTTGGTGAAAAATGCATTGAAATCAACAAATCTATATGAACTCTCATTTTGTTATATTTCAGTAGAAAAATCACTTTTTTAAAATAGTTTTTCTCAACGTTTCGTAAACGTATGAGGCAAACAAAGTCGAAGGTGAGTATAGGTACTCAGTGACACCATTGGGTGAAGGTTGCACCGAGTCGTGAACTGACAGAAGTAGAAAAATGTGTACCATCAAATTCCAACTAAGTGGCTTAATGATAATGTGCTGATCGTGAAACATGAATGTCCTAGATTCTATCCCCGACCAGGTTATAGCTGCGCACTGCTGACGAGTTCATACTGGGACGAAACAGCATTCCAATGCTCGTGGAGTTTCAGTAGTTCTTCAACTGATGTCAGTCCGCGATATTGCATCGTAAACAGTTGGAGAAGTCTTAAAAACCAGACGTCAGTGGACAGCTTTTGTTTTACCAATTTGGAATCTGTGGCTACAACATAATCCAGATCTGTCAGGTTTATCAATATGAACCATTTGGTTTGAACACAATATATGAAGAATTAGGTATGCGTAAGAAGACCTATAGGTAGCGTGAAAAATCTAAATATCACATCAGATATATACGCTAATGAGTGTGTTGTGAAAAAGCAAAACAGCTGTCCAATACCATTTGTCTGTGATTGACTGTCTGGATGATGTCAATCTTTGATGGAAATAGACTTGAAATTAATCAGATTAAAAGATAAATAGATCAAACTCAAGACCTTCCGGTTTCACGGAGAACGGGTTAACCATTCAACCACTGGGTTGGTTTTCAGTGGTTCACAATTTCCAACTTCTGTCCCATATTAGGAAAAAAATAGCTGTCCAGTGCTCCCAGATTTTCAATGGTTCCCCAAATGACGTCAGTCCACGATGAATACTACCTCTAAATTAAAAATTCCCATTCATCTCAAAAACACACAAATAGATCAATTTATAATCTAGCACAGAATTGTGTCTTTCCAAGTTGTCACACTTTGAAATAGTGCTCAAACAGGAAGGTAATTTTAGATAAACTGATACAAAGTAAGAATTTTCACAATTTTCAGCATGACATAAAGTGAAGGCATCTGTTTCATTATGATCCATTTTGAACAATACTATAAAGGGTGTACGATCAGTGATAATTACTTTATTAATGGTCCTATTCAGATAATCTATACGCTTCAACACTATACAGACCAGACCAATACAATAGTTGGATCACTG